ATTACAACGGTCTGCTCGATTTGCCTGAAGCTAAGAAAGGAAAGCAAATCTCTGTGCTACTCCACAAAATCCGAGAGCACACTCAAGCTCTAGAGGCAGTAGGCCATCCTCCCTCCGCCTACGACGGAATTTTAGTGGCTTCCGTTATGAGGAAACTCTCTGACAACTTGGCCAGTCGATTCGAAGACTATCGCCGAGATACACGCGATCCTAACGTGACTATTTCGAGCATCCACACTGAATATCCCAAGGTGCAGGAACTCCTAGACTTCCTCGAAAGAGAGTCCGTAGCCTTCGAAGAACGGCCTTCCGCCCGAGCCTCAAAGACGGAAACCAAGGTCGAGACCAAGGCTCTGGTCTCGGTTCCCTCTTCCAGCGCCCCATCTACGACGCATGAAGAAAAGGCTAAGCCTCACAACAAAAATGAGCAAGCCTCTCACCGGCTACCTCCTGAAGATCCTCCAAAGCAGCAGAGTAAGCCCAGCAAGAAATCTCAAGAGCCAAGACTCCAAAAGTGCCCTGAATGCTCGGAGAGCCATCGACTGACCTGGTGTCCGGCGTTCAAACGGAAATCTCCTGCCGACAGACAAAGGTTCGCCCGCGAAAAAGGACTCTGCAACAATTGCCTGTCCAAACACGACCCGGGCACTCCCCGTTGTCCGTCTGACAACACATGCTGGGTGTGTCAGCAGAGACATAACACCCTACTCCATGGCGCCGAAGAAAAGTCCTCGGAGCCATCATCTAAGATCATGGTCAGTCAGGGTCCCAGCTCAACTGTCCTGCTTGCAACCGTGCAGGTGAGAATAAAAACCAAAGGCGGTTCTCACATCGTTAGAGGTATCCTCGACAGTGCCGCCCAAGGCACGTTCCTCACTTACGAATGCGCCAAAAGAGTCGGCCTAAAACTAATTTCTGGCCCTGATGAGGTCAGTGGGATCTCTGGATCGGTTGTGCAGACCTACGGGTACGGTCACGCCACCGTCTTTGGCCTAGGACAGCGTACCATCTCGAAGAATCACCGCATGGTCGTGGTCGACCGCATCACCAATCCCACCCCATCAACCGCCATCGCCCAGGCAGTTCGGCAGCGAGTTCAAGGGTGGACTCTAGCGGATCCATCGTTCGATGCCGTCGGTCCCGTCGACATACTCATAGGCGCGGACCTCTTTCCATACATAGTCCAGGGCGCGCCAGTTCCCTTGGGTCCAGGACTACCCGTTGCGATAGAGACGACCCTCGGATACGTCCTCATGGGCCCAACGCCAACCTTCGGCCCCAACCCCAAGGTGCTGCTATCTTGCCTATCCACAAAGGATCAAACTCCAACTCCAAGTCCAACAACCCAACAACTCTAACAACCAGCAACTCGGCTGACAGCCCTACTGAAGAGGCTGGGTTCATTCCTCATCTCACTGGGTTTACTCTACCTCGCGCCGATGCCCGCGCCCCCGCGGCCCGCGGCAACGACTCCAACGCGACCCACACCCATCACAGTGCCAGCCCCACCCGCACCGGTCGCGGAACCAGACCAACCCAC